TTTTTTTTTTTTTTTTTTTTTTTTTTTTTTTTTTTTTTTTTTTTTTTTTTTTTTTTTTTTTTTTGGTAATGGGTTTGAGAAAATGAAGGAAATTGATAAGGCTGGTGAAGCAATATGGAGTGAGGAAATGGGCTCAGATAGCTGAGAAATTGGAGGGCAGAGCTGGAAAACAGTGCCGCGAGAGATGGCACAATCATTTGCGTCCTGATATTAAGGTTTTTTTTCCCTTTTTTCTTGTTTTTTTTTAATTAATTTATTATTTTTTGTATTTATATATATATATATATATATTTGTTCATAATATTTTGTGAGATCCATAATTAATTTAGTCAATAAAAGTTTCACAAAATTAAATATCTTTTTGTGGTTTCAACATTTTCAAAGCTTTTCTTCTAACAATTTACCATTTATATATTGCACCACTTATTCATGCAATTTTTTTTTATGAAATATTTAAAATTAAAATTTTAATTTAGACCTAATGAATTTTTTTTTATGAAATATTTAAAATTAAAATTTTAATTTAGACCTAATGAATTTTTTTTTATGAAATATTTAAAATTAAAATTTTAATTTAGACCTAATGAATTTTTTTTATGAAATATTTAAAATTAAAATTTTAATTTAGACCTAATGAATTTTTTTTTATGAAATATTTAAAATTAAAATTTTAATTTAGACCTAATTTTTTCTTATGTAATTTTCTCGATAATATATGTATTTTTTTTTGGAGATATTATCTCAGAGTATAGTATTAGTCGGTCATGCTTTTGATTAGTGGGTCGTGTTTTTTATGATCATTTTAAAGTGTTTTGAACTGTAATGGTGACAGTTACATTGAATAATTTACTCGTTTTTTCAGAAAGAGAGTTGGAGTGAAGAGGAGGAGATGATACTGGTGGAAACTCATGCAAGGGTTGGTAATCGTTGGGCTGAGATAGCAAAAAGCATTCCCGGAAGAACAGAAAACGCCATAAAAAACCATTGGAATGCTACAAAAAGAAGGCAGAATTCAAGGAGAAAGAACAAACGCCCTAACTCCCAAAATGGCAAGCCTCACTCTTCTATTCTTCAAGATTACATCAAAACCAAATACAACCCGACCTCCGTCCCGGCCACCTCCACCGTCATGTCGGCTGTCTCCAACGACCCTTCGTCTCATTTCAACCATTTCTTCTCCGAGTCGTCGGATTCCACCTCTAACCTCTCTTCGGCAATCATCTCGTCGCCGATGTATGACGATGAGCTTCTCTTCATGCAAAACTTCTTCTCGAACTCCGGTGGTTTGTTCCCGTCTGTTGACGATGGTGCATCTATGGTCGTACGTAATCAATCTGTGGCAGAGTTCGGGTCTGTTGACTCGGAACCGAAAGCGGAGAAGGGGAAGGTGATCAATGGGAGCAACATGGTGAAGAGTAGTCACTTGTATTCCGATATGTATATGTCGTATCTTTTGAATGGGACGATGAACTCCGGCAGCAGCGACGGGGAGATTCTGAAGACGGTGGAGATGGCGGAGCTGCAAGTGGCGGCCGGAGAAGGGCAATGGGAGACTTCAGAAGAAGGGAAGAGAGAAATGGATTTGATAGAAATGATGTCTTTCCATTGTTATTCTTGAGTTGAATTGAGAGAAAATAAAGCTTTGCGTTTGAACTCTCCTCGTTCTTCAAGATTTTGTGTTTTAGAAATTATACTTATTATTATTATTAATTACTATTATTTGATAATTCATTAAAATAAACGAGATTTAAGGGAATAAAAAGGATATAATAAAAGAAAGACAATTTAGTTTTAGGGAGTAATTTAGCTACTCAATTCACTAGCTTCTTTAACCACTGATTTGCCTTAACCAATAGATTTATCCTCTTTGAGCTTTTATACTGGGGATAGTTTTCTATGTCATTTTCCAACCGACGTGGGATCTTACACAATCCACCACTCTTGGAGACTCAACCTTTTGGACTTTCCCTCAAGGTTTTAAAACGCGTCTGGAGAGTTTTCTACGTCCGTATAAAAAATGTTTTGTTCTCCTCCCTAACCGATGAAGATCTCACACATCTCACCTCTCTTGGGGCCAACGTCCTCTCTAGCACACAGTTCCATGTTTGGCTCTGATACCATTTGTAATAACTTAAGTACATCACTAACAGATATTGTCATCTTTTGACTTTCTCTAAAATTTTTAAAACGTTAGGGACAGGTTTTCATATCTTTATGAGGGATTCTTCGTTCTCCTCTCCAACTGATATAGTATTTCACAATCCACCTCGTTTGAGGCATAACAAACTCATTGGCAGGAAACTCAAAAAAAAAAAACAAAGATTCAAGGCCAAATGGCAACAATTTTCCTAAATTAATTGATAATTTTGATAAAATCTTAATACAAGAAACCTAAAAAACTCTTATTCAGCACATAGTTTTGTTAGTCCAACCAGTCTCTCAGTAGAGATTGGAAGACAAAGGACCTCTTAAGCATATTATTGCTTTGTGAATGAAGCTATTAATTTAGCAGTTTCGTGGATAAAAAAAGGAGTTATAAAAATTAAAGGTCAAAGGTAACCGATTTTAGTCATCAATGCTTTTGAATAGTGACATAAATAAATAAAAAGCAAATAAAGAGGGCTAAATTAAAAAAATATTTATGGTTGGTTTTGTATAACAATCATTAGCACCTTTTATTTTTTCAATACCTTTATATGTTAATATATGGACAGAAATTAGTATCTCATTTTAAAAAATTAATAAAACTGGTATTCTTTCTTTACCTTCCCTGAACTTACAATTCTTGAACAGAATACAAACAAACAATTCACTGAAATTTATGTCCTTTTTAGCAATAATAATAATTACTTCCAAACAGAAAACTCTTACTCTTTTGCATGCTTAGTTTCAACGACTCTTAACAAACTTTAATTAACAGGAAATTACGAGCCTGGTATTATCTATAATGCTCCCTTTTTCCAAAATTTTCCAAGACTTCAAGGAAAAACATATCTTTATGTCTGTCTGTATATATAATTTGAAGAAAAGTCATGACATTTTGGCCCTGGCGAAGAACACCCCAGCAAATAAGCCTGCAAAATGCAACCAATTCATAAGCCAAATGATCCTCTTCAATAACAGTGAAAAGGTGGCCATATTTGTAACTCTTGAGAGTCTAAAAAATTGTGTTCATTACCAAATAATATGCTGAAGAGGTTTGGTGGACTCAGAGGAACTTTAAACAAAAAGATGCCAGCAATTGATAAGGGAATCTTGTTCAAGGAACCTACAAGGCTGTAGAAAAAGAAAACCATTGTAAGTTGACGAATCTATATTTTGCACCTAATTGAAGTTCACAACTATTGCATATATATCTATATATATATATTTTTTTTTTTTAAAAAATGAAATAGAGCTAAGTTTTAAAAACTAAATAAATAATTATTTTAAAAAAATTATTTTGTTTTCAAAATTTTGACTTAAAGTGGAGGGGAATTATTTGCACTAGGTTAGAAATCACACTCTCCACAATGGTATAATAATGTCGATTTTGAGTATAAGCTCTCGTGGTTTGTCTTTAGTTTCTCCAAAAAACTTCGTATCGAGATGTGTTCCCTACTTATAAATCTATGACCAACCCCTTAATTAACACGTAGGATTACTCTCCCAACAATTCTCAACACTGGTACAAAGTGGTCGGTAATAAAATGGAAATACCTGTAGGTGGTGGGGCCCGTTTGATGTAAGAACCACATAGAGGTGAAACTAATAGCGAGTCCAAGTAATCCGCTAGCAGTTGCGACAACCCAAAACATTGGCAATTTTATGACATCCCTGTAAGTTGAAATGGGAGGTGGTGAGGAGAAAAACTGTTTAGCTGACGAAACTTAGAGAATATAGAATGAAAAAGGAAAAAGAGTCTACTTACGCATTCACTACATAAGCCCATTCACCAAATAGGAATATCAAAACGGCACCAAATGGTAAAGATAATAAGTTATTTAGCAACACCATGGAAGCTTCATTAAGTGATCCAGATCTTGTTAGCTTCTTTGCTTCGTCCATGATACGTCTCAGGGTAAGCTGTGAAACAGCAAAATTCATATTGAATTATTACGAATACATGCTATTCACGGGTCATTCAGAAGAGTCCTGAGTAAACATTTAGCTACTTAAGCTGTTGAAGGGGAAAAAAACCCCACAAAATGGGGTTTTAAAGCTAAAACTACTTACTGAATAGCTTGCTGTAAGAACACAGTTCGTGACCTGCCATCCATAGCCTAATGTATCAAATGTAAGATCGGTTATACCACCGCTGATGGCGGAGATGATCTGCATGGACAAAAGAAGAGTGATTTTGATGAAAGAAACAAACAAACTATGATTCCTGGAAGGACATAATCAACATAACCAGCAAAGTGCTTGATAAAGAGCAGCATTTCATTTTTATGTACTGTCATCAGAGAGCAGTTTTTTCTCTATGATTGTCCCATATTTCTCAGAGATCTCGAGAATGACGGAAATTAGACATCTTTTAGTACCAAGCAGCCTGGAAATTCTACAATATAAAGATTGGGTGTGAACCCCGGGTAACTTTTTCCCAACGGAAACAAATAGAAAGGAAGTGAAGGCACTGCCCTGTTAGAAACGATGAAGACCATCATAATACTTTTTTAGCAGAGAATAAAGGTGGAAGATCCTCTCTCTATGGGCAGAGTACAACTCCGTTTGGTAAACTATACATTTAAAAGAACTGGTAACTGACCAAAAGCAACTTATTCTACACAAAGTCGACTATGAGATAAAATTAGATTGGAAAATTTAAAGATTTGTTGGAGATATTTTAAATTTTAAGAATATATTAATTATTAATCACAATAAAATCTAGGGATCAATCTTTGGTATGATATTTGCATGTAAATTGGGAAGTAAAATATAATGTTTACCATTAAGAACATAGCAGTCCAGACTTTTTGGTTCTGTCGTTTCCGGAAAATATAGAGTTCTCCAATTGCAGTCATTATGTTCGTCACATTCTTCAAAATGGTCACCATTGCTATATTTATGTATTTCAAACTGAAACCAAGAAGAACCTCAAATTTCTGTCATGGGTGCCAAAGAGCAAAACAAGAGAGCTACTAAGAATCTTAGAAACTGAACGCACCTGTACATGCCAGACACCAGCATACCGATAAAGATTAAGTTGACTGGAATCCACAGCCTAATCAGCTTCCAGTTAAGCTTTTCGATTGAAACTGTTCTGCAGAGGCCCAATAGAACAATAACTATAGAACTAATCAAATTCTGCAGAAAATTACCGGAATAAATCAAAATTGGATATGCTAGAAAATGTGATAAAGTATAAATTTAAAAGAGAAACAAACTGATAAAGTAAAAACTGACAAGATTAAGCAAAAACTTTCATTGGTTCAAGTGACTGCCTTGACTCACTATTCAGCAATGTCACGAAGTCTGGTATTTTTCATTTTTAACGCAAATGAGAAAGAAACGAGTGGCGTACTTGATAAAACATCAACGATATTCCTGCATTAAAATTGTAACCGGAGAGAACAACTTTATTCAGAATAATCATGCTGCAAGAAGAAATGCAATACGCAGTCCCGGATAAAAGAGGACCCGTTTTCCTTCCTAATCCATGTTCACGTGTCTCATCACCATCAAACAAACCACTGAAACTGCCATTCTTGACAATTCGATTCCCTCTGAAAAACCTAAGGTAGAAGAATTGATGGTGGGTTAACCACAGAATAATGGATCATTAACAAAAATTTCAAAAAAATACAGAGAGAGAGAGGCCCTTGATGTATAAGAGAGAAATTAAGATATAATATTTCTAATCTATATTCGATTGTTATTAAGAAGTATGCAAGTTTTCAGATATATATCAACTGTTAATAGCCGCAACCAGATTGTAGCAGCCTCGTCCAATAAGTTCTCCACAATGTGGCATTTCAAAATCTTTCTACTTGTTAATTGAAGTAGGCTACATATTTGAAATACAAAATTTAAAAATCGATTTCATAAACAGGATAGAATTGTTTGAGCAGCTCAAATAATTTATAGGACAGGCTATCCATGAGTACCTATCCCCCAAGGTCCTGCGCTGTGCATTCGTTAAAAAATTGCTAATCGACTTGCTTCCTTGATTTCGAATACCGCTGAGAATTTTGTGTACTGTACCAGCTCTTTCATTCTGCTCAACGTTTCCGTTTCTAGTGCTCACTAGTGGTTCCTCGCCGCCTATTTCCAACTTGAAATCTGATGACATCTACATCAAAAAAATAATAAAAACAACTTTATACGAAGAACAAAAAAATGCATCTCCTACATAATCTCTGAGAAGCAGGTTTTGAACAATTGAGAGCCGTCTGAATTCGCTAACAATTCCATCATCAATTGAAAAAAACGGCTCAAATTCAAAAGCATAGTCAGTATGCATACAGAGATTCAAGCAAGAACCAGAAATAACCACAAAAAACTAAAAGAACGAGTAATGATTCTGAGTCCTACCGAGTCAAGAATCACAGTCTTCGGAGAAACAATAATGTTTTAGTATCCTCCAATTTGAATAAATTGTCAATCCTTAGTAAACCAAAACCACAAAAAAATGATAGTTATCG